AATAACTACATGGGTTACCAGAAACAGATAGAAGTAAATCATTGCCAGAAACTATCAAACAAAGACCATATCGATTGCAAGGAATGAAAAGATGGGAATAGGAAGAGCCCTAAGAATGAGAGGTAAGTAACAATTAAAAATCCCCATCATGGTTGGTATTGCCATTCTCATTTGTGTTGGTGAATCTGACTTCAATTAAAGTAGCATGAAGTGTATGGTCAACATCAGAGCCAGAATGGAACTTCCCCTTCTATGCAAACTTCAATTTAAGATACTTGATCAATCCAATTGTTTAATTTTTCAATGGAAGGATGACTCATTCAATGACATTCATAACAGAAAATGCATGAAAAAAGTGCAGATGGATAAATTTGTTGTGTCTGACTTCTGTGCTGAATAAGTAAAATTTGCCGTCTACTTGAAAGTTAAGTTTACATATATTCATGATAAATGGTGCATCCTTGTCTCTGCTGCCTTAATCAGACTCAAATGTGAGGTTATTGCTCACAGGTACTGAATATTTGGCTGTCAATTGAAATTTCGAACAGTACAATAAATGTTAAGATGGATGAGACTGTCACAAAGCGTGCTGGTGGTGTGGATTTTTACAAACTCATAATAGAGACCTTTTGCACTGAAAGAGAACCAACTAAGGAATCATCGTATTGACAACTCCTACCTGATAAGGGTCCCTGATCATGCAACCACAATATTCCAAAATGCTAATTCCAAATACCTATCTTCTGTTCTGGATCTTGACTTTCCATGTAACTGATACTAACATTGTATTGAAGACTACTTGGTGATCTCACAAGACTCATATATAACGAGCCTAATCAGTCTTTTTTTGGACTTCCAATGATCCTCCAATGTAAATAGGATAGATGTCAATCATGAATCAACCAATAAACCTTTAACTTCATGTGCCAAAAGCCATTACTCAAATAACAAATCTGAGGCATCCTCAAACATAGAAGTTAAGTTGGACAGTGAAAATTATCTTGAGTAATTTCATAGTTCCCTTTCTCCAGTGTCTTTTGTTCAGTGCTAGCAACACTCGAATATGGCTTCTCTTAGTGAGGTTAATGATGTTAAGATGACTATTGCACAGACCTACTAAAAGAGGGTTGATTAATATTCATCACCTCTCAGAAATGTAACAATCACAAATAAGGAATTGAGCAAATTCCTTGAGCTTCCTGACCATGAAGAAATGCAACAAAGATGACATATCATGGCCTCAGTCTCATTCTATCTAAAAATTCTTCCAACAGTTTCAGCCCCCACATATTCAGACCATATGTTTAACCCTTATTAGCCATAGAAAGTGATTCATATCTTGATGAATATAATATCCCTATTCTTGTCGATTCTTGCAATACTTCATTCTCAATGAGAAATGCATAACCTGCAGCCATGTTGGTGAAACTAATGCAGCTGAAGAATTCTCCAAATACTTATCCTCAGTGAATCATAGCTGATGGTCCAACTTCAGCTTTCTAATCTTCTAGGAATAAGGAACTTATCTCATGGTCTTTTAAATTAAGAGTCTTTCCATTCAGCTATTCTAAAACTTATTCCCTAAATCCTAAATCTACTCAAGTGATTTGTGTTACTACTAAAGATATTCCTCAACTTCTACTTATGAGCATATTAAACATTCATCAACTTCTACTTATGAGCATCTTAAAAACTTAAAATGGCCATATATTAAAGATAAAAACAAATATCAGATAAGTGACCACCTTAAATAGGTTAGTCCCAAGGAGATTTTTTTGGACAAACCAGTTTTGCTTCTAAAATCATTTAAGCAGAATTCGTAGTGACTAGAATAGCACATTATTGATACCCTTGCAACTGCAAGGTTTGAGGTCCCCTCATGTAGATCGTAGTGATCGTTTTTATGGTGCAGGCCACAATGGAGTAATATATAGTGGTCATTCACCAGTATCTTTGTTGTTGAACCAGAGATGATCATATCTAATCCTAACCAAGTAGACTTCATCTACATCCTCCACCCAATAAAATCATTCTTTCAGTGAGGTTCCACAAGCAAACATCATTACATTCAATTTCATGTTCGAATCACATGTCATGGTTTATGATTGAACTTTAATCTCATCATCTGTCATCAACAGAACCAACCAGGCGGCAATACTTAAATATCTTGAAACAATAGCTATGAGGCACAGTCAGTGATTCTCATATCCCATTTGCGATAAATGACTAAAGAAGAAAACCACAAAGAGAGAATCAACCACACATTTAAGTTCGTGTAATAAGATACTGCCTTGTCACTTAAAAGAGGTTTTTCTTGTCAAGAAGTCAGCACGCACAGCAGTCCAATCGATGGCCATTCATGCCACAAGAGAAAAATATCATCAAGGTTTTCTACCTCAACTCGTTGGTGGTAGATGTGTGTATGTCCACGAAAAAGCGTCCACTAAAATCACCAATCCCTCTTATCATTTGATTGGGTCGACGAAAAAGAACAAAAGCAAACAGTGAGTGCAGGCGTACCACATCTAAATGTAAACCAAAAGACAAAAAGGAGGGACATTTAACAAACAGTAATCAACATCATATAGCAAAAGCTGAAAAATGATGAGTGAAAGAAAAATAAGACGAGAGCAATAGATTAACAACATGGTGAACGATGGTAGATCTTATACCTTCGGAAGAGAGGGTGATGAAGACGGTTGATGCTTTCCGTGTGCGCCGCTTGCAGAGGCTACACCGGACTAGTACCGATTCAAGAGAGGCGGAAGTACCAAAACACGTCGCTTTTGGATCCACCGCCAAAAGAGAACGGTTCGACGTTACCGCTGATGACGAGGAGTTTCTCTCGATCAGACAAAAAACACAGAAGAAGCAAAAAGATTCGTTGGATAGAGTTTGCAATGACGACGAGAGCGACGACGACGAATCATCAAGGAGTACGGGCCCATCCACCGCCCGGAGAGCGCCATGGCTGGCCTTTTGCAGACGGTCGCAGCCAAATGGACAACGACGGCTGACGACGAGCCCAATGAATCATGCCAAAAGATTCGCTTGGATGAGGCGATGACGACGGCTGATGGCGAACTCGAAACGTTCCGCCGTGGACGAGTCGGCGGCTCAGATTTATCTTTTTTTTTTGGTGAATTTTCGGGAAAAAAAACATTTTTTTTTGTTTTTATCTTTTTTAATATAATTTTTAGTTATATTATTTTTGAATATATTTAAAAATATTATAAGCTTATTTAAAATACTATAACTCATATGAAAATATTCTTATAATTCATACTAAATATATATATTTGAAGCTTCATTTTTTTATATGAGTGACAATGTACTTAAATAGACTTATACTAGTATTTTGATTGACCAAAAATACTATATTTGACGAATTTAGTTGTTTTTTTTTTTGCTAAACCAATAAGAATAATTATTTGAAGTTTTAATTTTTATATAAGTTGGTTTATATTGAGTTTTGAGTCAATTTTTTTTTAGATTTTTAATAGATTTATAGTGTTTTGATGGAGACGATAAAAATACTATAAGTTTATATAAAAATAATATAACTGATAATATTTTTGAATAGGATGTTTGAGTAAGAAGATTGGGATATTTCAGAAACAATAATTTTAAAAAATATATATTTTTTATATTATTTTCTTTTATCTTAGATGAATATTTTATAATTTATTTCTAAATTTTCTAATATATTTCATTAAGATGTGATTCGAATCTAAGACTTTACGATAATACCGTCAAATTTTTTATTATTCCACCTTAGTAACTAGAAATATTAGAAAAAAAGGCTTAAGAGATTAGAGAGGGATTGAGAGAATCCCACTGTTTGCTATTAAGTGAATCAAATCCATCCAAATCTAATAGATCAATCCCTATGAGATTTGTTTTAGAAGGTAGAATTCCAATAGGACAATGTTGATTTGATTGAGATTCTTCTGACTTGAAGCTAATTGATACTTATAGGTCTATCAACTACTCTCCCCCTAGTAAAATCCACATGCAAACCTAACATGTCTTCTCCCTAATTTAAGGAAAGATAGGATAATATTCATCCCTTAATGTTGGGATTCCTTAGTCACTTAACACTTAATTCCTCTAAAATATGCTTCTAAGATCCATCCAATCATGCAAGCCAATAAACCTGAATTAATTAGTTTTCTTCTCTTTATATTTTTCATTAATTATTTTAATAAATAAAATAGTGTTTATTGTGTTGCATTCTATTCTTCCTTTAGTTTCTATTTTTTAGAATTTTATAATATAATTGAGCACATTAATTCCTTTATAATTAGAATAGTTTTGAATATATTTATTATTTTATATATCAAATACTAAAAAAGAAACTCTTATTGTAATCATCATGCATCTTTTAAATTCTCATTTTTATCTCCATAATGATACCATGAGGTCCCACCTCTAATTTTCATATTTTTTAGATATTTATTTACATCATTTGTTATAATATAATAATAAACTTATAATCTCAATAATTATCTATAGATCCAAGTAATGCATAGGTTATTAATTAAACAATTTATAAAAAAATATATTGATTTTACATCCTTTGTACATATAACTCTACATTTCTTTTTCTAAATTTAGCAATTAAATCAATGTCCTTTTCCTAACCTTAAATTTCATATTTTGCATAATCAAAAGTGCTGAATAATTTGACCAAATTCCATCACTTTCAATATATGTGAACATACCACATTTATTTTATGCATCCAACACATTCATTATGGTCAAAGCATTCATCAGTCCAAAGAGCACCATCAAAATTATGAGCATTGATATCATAATATGTGCAAATCAATGACAAACAACAATGAAAAGAAAAAAAAGGTAGTCAATTGACTCACATAACTAAAAGATAAATTAGAGGAATGGCTAAAGTTTCCATCAACATCTAGGCATAGGAAATGTAAATTATCCATATAACATCTTGGTCTTTGAGCAAATAAGCACACCCCAACACCACATAATTGAAGATATAGGAGATAAATTTATGATCAACCTTCATTTATACTCTTGATGATTCATACAGTGATACTACCAATCCATTATACTACATATAAAACCCAAAGAGCTACTTTTGCTAGACTCATTGATTCCATGCCCTCACTGCACACTCATCACTGCTAGAACATTAGCTATTGACTTCAAACTCTGCCAGGACTTTTTGGATCATGTCGATTGTTGGCACCTGATCCTGGGTAGTCGTTGCTTGCAATCTCCATCTTTGAGATTTCTTCTTCCATCATTCGCATGTCTCTGCTTGTCACCTACATCAACAGAACTCGTTTAGATCATCTCATTCAGCCATTGCTGCTGAATGAATGATGATGTTTACTGAACCGAGAAGATAGTTGTTTTAGCCCGAGGAGGAAGAAAGAATTAGTGGCAATCCACACTGTGTGAGGAGATAGAGAGAGAGAACCTGGTCTGTGTCTTCAAGAACTGGCGTATCCTTGGTCCCAAAACTTAGGCTCCCTACTGCAGCAATCCAAGGAAAGGTAAGAACACTTCGATTGATCATCTACTTCTGATTGCCAAACCGTATGACTCCAACAAGAACATATTAGAGATGTCAGTGAAAGGATTAGAAGAACTTAACTGTGTGCAGGAACAGCACCCAAAGGATGAACAAGGCATGACAACAGGAGCAGAAGTGCCAACAGCTGAAGCAGAGGCAGACCCCTCTTTCGGCCTATCATTTTGATCATCTGGAATGAACCTCTCACAGACGAAAGAGCTGCCGGTTCTCCCAAATTTAATGGTGGCAATGCCATGGGGAGGGTATTACAGGTCCAAAGGACAGGGCATGCCCAGCACCCCTCAAAGTCAACATCCATGTTATTTTTATTTGGAGGTGTGTGCTGCTGTCCCCTTGGTTTTCCTGACACTACTGAATGCCTTTGTCCTCTCCATTTTGTGGACGCTGGTGACATTGATTGCTCCTCCCATTTACTCCTCATGACCTAACATTTTATGGCATGATAAATAGTAAAGTCAACAGTCTCTCTTGCACAAATACGTATCACATCTTGGAGTAGGAGCACCACAGGCAGAGTTACTATTGATTAAGAAACAAGTGGGATTGGCCTGCAATATAATTGCACTTGAGCTGCATTTGAGTGAGCAACTACTGTCCCTTTTGGTAGTGGGTGTCTCTCACCTGTGAGATATGATATTTAGATTTCAAGCAAGCTCTATAAAACACAAAATCCTATCAATCTTGCAGTGAAAATGGATCCCCTTTTTCTTCAATTACCAAATCATGTTGTTTTTTCAGTGTCTATTATTTGTAAACTTATATGATTAGTAAATTGGAATTCTATTCACAACTGATCTCTTTGCTTTTACTCTAACATCTGATACAAAAGCTTCGAGTGTTTTCCTGATCTAGAGTTGTAGTAAAATCAAGAACTATACTAAGATTCATGTGTAAATGGTTAAGCTTTAAGCTATGTTAATATGAAAAGGAAGGAAAATATATGTTGAGCATGTGAAGTCACATCTCCATTTCTTGGAGTCAATGCTTTTGTAATTGGTCTCATAAGTGCAAATGGTTTGGCATGACAAATGGAGCAGAAACTGATGATAACCCACCACCATGCCAAAAGGAAAAAAGCAAAGATGGGAGGAGATTTGTAATGGTCCACTCGAGAAGTGGGAGGTGTTTTAGCATCAAAATATACTACGCAAGAACACAAAGGATGACAGCAACCAATCAAAAGGACGGTTGTTCTTATAGATAATCCAAGCTGGGGGGATTACATCGACCATTAAAACTCTTGGGAATGGCCTGTTGTCGACAAATGGATTGCAGACTGTAGCCGAATCATATCTTCTTGGTGGGATCATCTTGCACCTCCTCGGCAGCAGCAAACATGTTGGTGGTGCACTGTGCGTCTGCAAGTCTTGTAAGAAACTTCATATGCAAGTCCAGTGGAGAGATGAATAGATTATGGATCATCTTTTGAGGCTTCTAAGAATGCTGTGCACTCGTGATCATTATCCTCTCTTCTTCTCCATTTCCGGAGGACGCACATGCAAGTACATGAGATACTGATCTTTCCCTTTTGCTAAACAAATCAGAAGAGTAGGTTTCTCTTGTGGAGAAACCTTTCACGTCGTGCATTGGATGCAGTGGGTGATGATGACCTCTCAGAACACTCTCCATGGAGGCTTACTCACTTCCACTGCTTCTGAGCTCGCCAAGTAAACTATTCTTCGTGGAATGCTTACTCACATCACAGCTTTAGCAAACTGTGCTCAAGCCATTCAACAACAACAGCTTTTTAGGTGCTCTTATGGAGCTGCCAGAGCTTACAAGAACTGATCATTGATTCCGGAGGAGAGGATCCATTACTATATGTGCTGTAATCTCTTGCATCAGAAACATGTTTTTCTTGGATTTGGATCATATGCCGACACCTTGGACGTCAACGGCTGCCACCCATCAGAATGATAGCAGGTCAAATGCTGTGGAACAGTTCGACAGATGCGTACTTGGGAAGTTATGTTGCGTCTACAAGTCGCCAACGGATCATACGTGCATCTCATTTTCTCATGAACAGTGCATGTAATGTCAACATCGAAGGAGAATATTACTGAAACAACAAGATTCTCTCCCTGATGTGATTGGCACAAGGGCTGTTCATTTCAGTTTGCCCTGCGGATTCGAACACAATAATTCATCCTTCATTCTCATCTTTAGTACTTTACTGAGGGATTCATAAGTTTGTTTTCATGGGGTGCCTGGATAGAACACTTACACAAAATACAAATCTAAGTTATAGCTATGCTTGCACTCATATGATGCTATCTTAATGTGGTTTCATGTCCTGTAGTAACTAAAATTCCTAAAACTTATGCTCATGCATAAGAATAAAAAGTGCATGTTTAGTTATCATGTATTGATTAGACCATGATAAGATGCACATTAATTATTTTATACTTGGATTATAGGTTGTCATGTGTGTATATATACAGATTTATATAGGCATATACGCAGATATAACAAATGTATGTATCATTCGATGTATAAGTTAAATAAATAAAATATGAAATTATTTTCTTATCAAAACCACATCCGGTATGGGCTTCAAATTATGTGGGCCCGATGTGGGCCTGGCCGACCGTAAATCTCCTCAGCCCACTATTCGACTTCTACAAGAGGGGCCTGTCGCTAAGAGTACATTGGATCCTCGATCTCGGCCGAACCAAAATGTGTTCGATGTCTTCGGTTCGGGTCAATTAGTTGGTTCAATCGAACCGATTTGTTAGCGAGCCGTTATAGATCGAACGATACGTTCGAAGTGCTCGTGTTGACAGGATTTTTCGTTACATGCCTGCCTCCACAGCTCACCCGATAGCATCACCACCACCCATTCCCGCATCCGGAAGCTTCCTCTCTACCTTGGGAAGGGGTCGGACCATCGTCTCAAAACCCTTGCTCTCTCATCATCTCCGTCCCGGTGGTTGCTCCCCACCGCATTCTGAAGCCGGTCGCAATGGGCGGCGTATCCAAGCTTCATGTACTCCTCGCGGCGCAACTCCCCCTCCCCGCCGCCGTCCGCGTTGCCCGTCGTTCCGGCGCCCGTCTCACTGTTCTCTCGGCCTCCTCTTCCTACGCTCCCCGCCTCCTCTCCTCCAGCCTACGCTCCCGGCTTTCTTTTACCGTCCGTGGCGCAGCCCGAACCCATGGCCAGGCCGCCGGCGCCGGACCGGGATATATCGCGGCCACGACCTCGTCGCCGAGCTCCATCGCAGCCCACCCCTGGCCCGAGTGGTCAAGGCTTGTTGACTTTCTCCTTGCCGGAGGTTATTACGATCGTCGGGTTCCAGCAGCTGCTGATGACGGGGATGATGATTCGCTGTTGGCCGGAGAAGCGCTGACAGAAGAGTTCGTGAAAGCTGCCGAAGCGTGCCTTTTTTTTGCTAGGGATCGACCTGATTTGTTGAGGTCATGCGCTGGTGTCTCAGCAGTAACCATATTTCTTTGATAGTGTTTCTTAATGTTGGTGTGTGAATTATTTCTCTTTTCTTCTGCTGATGTTTCTTTACGGTTGATTTCTAGTTCGCTAGAAAGGAAGGATATTGAGATAATTGTGGAGCACGGCTCACCGTTCCTGTTTAAGAATGGTTCAAATTCCACCAGGCGGTTGAGGTCATTCCTCAGTGGCGTCGGAAACAATGTAAAGCTTCCATCTTTCTCCTCCTTGCTCTCCATTTTCCTCTTCTTTGCTTCTTGCTACTTTTGTTATTATAGAAGCCATAAATAAGCAATATAGGGTCTTTAGAAATTGAAAATTAACAATGGGAGAAAAAAGATTGTTAAATGCAAATTCTAAGCAGGGTGCCCTGCATGGCAAACCTATAAAGTTCGCCAAGGAACTTTTTATTTGGTAGGTTGCAAAGTATCAAGATGATAAACAGATGATTGGGAAGGATCAAAAAAGCTAAATAGCAAGATTAAAAAAGAGAGAGTGATGAGAAAAGGAGGAAAAATGGAAACACATTACATCGAGACCAAAACTCACATGATTGCTCACCCTTGAAACCTTTTTTTTCTCTCTCTCTCTCTTTTGGGTTCAATCTTGATTGAAATCTCAGTTGATTTGTCTTTCCCAAGCTAATCTCAATAAGTTATTGCGTAGTGTTAATGTATCTTAACGAACTGCAGTTGTCTTCCAGTAATTCAACAACGCCTTCCGCATTCTAGGAAATCACATCTAATTTCCATTCATGTGAGAAAACCAAATTTCATGATTCATTCTAGAGAAGTCTCAATCTTGTGAACCCTGTGGGAAGGTGTATATTGTACAAGCAAAATGGTAATTCAACTTGAAGGATATAAGTTTGAAAGCATAGTTCACAAGATTGATTCAGGATTGGAACCAGTTAAAAGTGTTATGATCAGGATCAATAAGATCAGTTGGATCAGATTGGTGGGATCAGTGTCAATTGAGAAATAGTTTTCTTGACTTTTTTTTACCAGTCATTCCATCTAAAAGCTTAACTCATTAGATGAGACCTGATCTATTATTGATATTCTTAACACCCCCTCTAACTGTCTTCAACCCACCATGTATAATTTGTATTAATAGGGGATATATTTTTAAATGTATGGTTTGAATAATATTTGAACATAGGACCTTCTGCTTTGATATCATCTTAAATTTTTAATCATCATAATGATTCAAAAGCTCAAGTCATTAAATGATATATGAATTATGATTTATATTGTTAACACATTTAAAATGAAAAACATAAAATAACATAATGTAACAAAAAAATTATTAGACTTTAAATTTTCAGAAAAAAATATTTGTGAAAGATTTCATAACATTTCACAGTTTTTTTTTCTTGTGCTCTTCTTGTTCTGCTTTTGAGGTTTTCAAACCAGGTAGAATTAATTGAAATCTACCAACTCAGGTTGAATTCAACAAGTTTCTAGTTTATTGCAACCAAATTCTGGCTATAAGGCAAGAAATTGGGCATGGATGGCACCAATTTGGAATGCATATCCTATGGAATTGTATGATATTGTAAACTATTCTTACAATGGCTATTATGTTGATGAACCAATACATAATTCAATAATGTAAGGGGAAGAAAGAAGCCATACGCACATACCAGCAGCAGTCTTTTCTATGCTAACTTTTCCCTGTTTGGTGCTAATGACTAGAGAATAAAATTAAATCTCAATGAAAAAGATATATGGAGAGTGTTGGATGCATTATTAGTGATCCTTGTTGTGTCTTCAAGTGATTGTGATAATAATTTGGACTTGGTGGTGTATTTGATAGCCTAGTAGAGATAATTTTTTGAATGTTTTGGAAACAATTTGAAATGTAATCTTATGCTAAGTGATGTGGAGATCTCTAAATCTCTTTACCATAGAAAAGTTTTTTTATTTTGATATGATTGGAAATTGCCCTCTTGTCTCCACCTGTTTTCTGTTATTTAAGAGTTGAGTAACATAGAAGAAATCAGTAAATCATGTTTGCCATATATTTGTCTCAAGTAAATTGAATTGCCATTGCTCTATTTGCTAGAAGGGCAACAAAATATTGGTTCTATAGGATACTAAATAAACACTTGTATGTTTGGAAGAGCACTCTATAAATTTGACTGGCTAAAATAATACTTATTTTATTGAAAAATATCAGGGACTTGAGATTGAGAGTGCAAAAACTTTTGATGTCATGCGGTACTTGTTGAGCTATGTATGCAACTCTTCTGCTTGTAAAGATGAGATGTACCTAAGAGCTAAACAACATATGGAAACATCAATCCGCAGTCTGTTGGCTGCAGTAGTCAGCGTGAGCACAGCTGGTGAAGAAGTCAGATTATCAGAGTCAACTCCTAAACAATCTCTTTTAAGGCAACAGTCCACAAGACCTGCTTCACAAAATACTGAAATGAAAAGAGGTGACTGGATTTGCCCAAAGTAAGTTCCATTTTTCTGATCTTTAAATTTCAGCTTTATAATTAAGCAGTCAAGCCAGCATTTTCAATCTTTTAATCCTAGATTTAGTCAGTAGCAGAGTTAAAAACAACACCATTCCATATGTTCAGTTGAGTTTCCTTGATGGTATCTTCCTTCTAGTAGGTTAACGTGTCATTTGTAGAGTGGCATGCTTAACTTCATATTGTTATACATGCTGTAAGAATTTTCAATTATTAACTCTTTAATTTGGTTATTGTGCAGGCTACATAGTATTCAACAATGTTAAATAACTATTTAGAGGGTGGGTCTGGTAGAGAAAAGTTTTCTTTTTTGACTCAGGCCTCTTGTTTGAATCATGAAAATATTCTCTCCATTATATGAGGCAAAGCTGCATGATATTGGCTCTCTTGTCCTTTTAATGGCTTGAGCCTCATAATTTGGCTGCCTTTTCTTTTTGAAGATAAACTATTTACATCCATGCTTTTAAATCTAAACTCATGATCTGAGGACTCATCGACATTCAGTTCTTTAAAGTTTAAAATTCTATGTCAGAACACTCAAAAAAGTCTGGAGTCATAGTGGAGGCACTTGAAAGGATTAAATGGCTAAAGGACTGAAGTTATCTTGCTTAGTTTTCTTGAAAAAATTATTTGATTGATTGAGCTTGCAGATAAAGGTCATATTCTTTACACCCAGAATAACTATCATTTTTTTAGAATTGTCAGATGTTTTTCATCATTAAGACCATTTTTGCAGGTGCCATTTTTTTCGTACGCCAAAATGAAGCCATAACTACTCACTTTTTTCAGCTCAAATATGAAAAGAAAAATGACTAAAATAAATATTTGTGAAGAAATAATATGCAAGAGAGACAAAAAAGATTAAGAAGTGAGAAAGAAGGTTGAGATGAATAATAAGATAAAAGAAAATGAAGTGGTATTAATATGTTGAGTGTCTGCCTAGTAAGAATGGGACGTACTTTTCAGTAAGAACAACCGGTGTGCTATAATGAATAGGTGCTAAACCACTGTTGCCTAATCCCAAATTGGATATTGTCAGTTGGAACAATTTACTTCAACATCTAATATATACTGCCTCTAGAGTAAAAGCTTATCCCTGAATCTTTAAGATATTTAGTCTGCATTGTATCCAATTAAAAGTGATGATTCTGTGGCCCCCCCAACCCTCGATTGAGTTCTATTGTTAAGCTTCAATTTTGCTTCAATCTTGCAGTAGTATGCATTTAGAGTAAACCCAACTGACCCCTTATTCAAATCTGTTTTGGCTTCAAATATTTGTGATGGTCGTGCTATGTAGCATCATAAAGTGACCATATTAGGCTTATTCGTCCCTAGTGTGAGCTCATATCAGAGTCTAAATGCAACTAAATTTTGATTTAAATCTGATTAATATAATACAAAATTGATCATCAAAACACAAATGCATGGAGATGAATATCATTGGACTTTCCTTGAGAAATGAAATTCTACATTTATTGAAATGAACCAGATATTTAGCAGCTGTAACCAAAGTTAGACATAATATGTAGCCTCTGGATGGGTGCAAGGTGTTGCACACAAACATTACTATCCTCCAACAGTTGCAGGTTGTGTTGCCTCCTTAATAAAATAGTCTTCTAGTTGCATATTCTGTAGAGAACTAATTAAAATATGTGGAGTTATAGCTGTGGTTGTCTTGAACAATACATCCAAACAGAGTGGTTTAGAAACCTTTTTCAGTTCATTATGAATCAAGAAATGATTTTGATTACATTTTGGATTACATCTTTCTCTTCTGTTTTCTTACCTGCACAGGAGTCATCTCTTGCTGGCAGTCTTTTTTTGATTCCTTCATGAAATGAATTAGAAAATTTAAGAGTCATCTCTTGTTGGCAGTCTTTTCATTTTCACTTCAGATTACTCTTTTAAGTATTGTTTCTTAAGTCCTGAGATGGATGAATGATAATACAGTGTCCCTTCTCCTCATGATTATCAAGTTTAGACGCATGGTCATCTTATCTTGAAGTTGACTTGTTGTGATAAAATAACTACTCATATTGGAAAAGATCAATTTTGACATTCGTAATTCAGTTTTCTATTATTATACAGCAAGTAATTCTTGCAAGGAGCTTGGTACACATGGCCTTGTTGAATCATGTTATAAGTTCCAGTTGGCAGTTTTGTTTAATGTTTTTGGTAAACAGAAGTCCCATGTTGGTGTAATGTGGTCTTCCAAATTTGATAAGGGTTTTTTATATCATTCTCTTGTCACAGATGTAGTTTCACGAACTTCGCAAGAAATATGAGATGCCTTGAGTGTAATGACACACGACCAAAAAGGGTCTTGACTGGTGGAGAGTGGGAGTGTCCTCAGTAAGCCCCTTTTCCATACCAAGATTATTGTGTTTTGTTTTCTGATCATTGTAACTCATTATTTTTCTTGTTCCAGATGTGACTTCTATAATTATGGGAGGAACATGTCATGCTTAAGGTGTGACTGCAGGCACCCTGGAGAAGCCCCACAAAATATTGCTACCACAGGAGTTGGCTTACAGTATAATAGAAGCTCAACCATTCAAAGGAATGCAGATCAACCAAGTGGTTTAGGTAGGATGGACTCTAGTAAAGCCTCTGAATCGTCAGTGAGCCAGAGACTAGACAGAATACTTGGTCGCTCATCTACTTTATCAGGTTCAAATCATCAGGCAGCTCCTGCAGAACTAAATGATGAAATGGGGAACTCTTCGGAATATAGAGATGGAATACCAAGCGAGAGGAGGGATTATGACTCCGTTTCTTCGGAACATAATGCAAATAATGATGTGCAACAATTTCCACTTATGGAAGATTCAGCTTCTTCTATAAGAACACATTGGCCAAGTGAATCTACAGATGAGAGGTTCAATAGCACAAGAGAGAGCAAGGGTGGAGATTCCTCTGACACTGCTGAGAAATGGTCTAAGAAAGTTGCAGAGCTCGACATTGCATCTGGTCCTGCCAGTACAGTATCTGATGATGACTTTCCTGAGATCATGCCAATGCGCAAAGGTGAGAATCGATTCGTTATCAGCAAAAAGAAGGATCGGTCTTTAACGTCACCACATTACAAGAGACGCATAGCCTTGGAGCAAGCCAATAGTTCCAATTTTGTACCTTTTGTCCCTTTTCCCCCAGATTACTTTGCAAAAAAGGATAAGCATCCTGAAACTTCGCCTACCAAGGATTCTGCATCGGAAGGTTTGGCAACACATGAAAAGTCTCAGACTATTTCAGAGAAATTGGAAGAGAATAAGACAGGAATTTCTAACTTTGTTTCTAGTGAAAAGACAGCACAGCCACCTGATGTTCAGTCTACGACCCTATCTAATGTTAGCAAGACATCTAATGCAAGCCCGTTCGGAGAAAACTTGAATGAGCATAAGGCAGGTAATGTTTATGATGGATCTGCTGTGATTTCAGCTGGGATTCCAGGCAACTCATGGAGTGACGGCAATAATAACAGGAACTGGGAACCTCCCAACAGCACACATGGTGGTGATGATGACGCCACTGCAAAGGAAAGTTCACAAAATGTCAACGAAGGGTTGAGCCCAGCCTCCAGCAGGAAGAGCTTAGAAGGATCTCTGGTGAAGGAACCTGATCCGCTTGACATGTCAGAGGAAGCAAAGGCAGCAAGGTGGTTTCGTCGGGTTGCTCAGATAAAGGACATTTCTGAGCTGAGCAACATTCCTGATGAAGATTTCCCAGAGATCATGCCAATGAGGAAGGGAGTGAACAGATTCGTTGTGAGCAAAAGGAAGACACCTTTAGAGAGAAGGTTGACGTCTCCCCAATACAGGAGAAATCTGCCTGTTGTTAACTCTGATCCAGAGAAAAATGCCAGCGAAGAAGCTGGTGAAGTGTAGTATTAGTTTGAACCGAGAATTTGTCTTAGTGAATGATGATCATATAGTGCATATTTGTTGCAATGGCATGATTGCATCATTGGCCTATTTTTGTATCAAATAGTAAGAATCATCTTAAGTTTTCCTTGTGAAATTTTGGAGCAGATAATGCCTCATCACGAGATTTTTTGGAGTAATTTGTAGAGCACCAGCAGATGATATAAAACATCGAAAATTTTCACCTGAAGCAAAAAAAAAACCAAAAGATGATATCAAGATTATTAAGTACAAACTAATTTTCAACGCATAAATAAAATAAGAGGAAAACAAAAAAGAAATTGGCCACAAAATCAAGTGGCTATAATGTATAGTGAGTTCAAATCAATCCTACTTCGAACTTCTTACGAGCAAATCGATAATTATAATTAACATTGTATTTATTATTTTCTATAGCAAAACCATTTATTCGGGACACTAAACAATTAATAAATCTTTAATCAGGAAAAGATAATAGACTTTCTCGTGATCTTTGGGCTTTTTCTAATTGGATTTGGGCTTTCGAAGGTGGAGCTATTGGGTCCGTTCATCATCGTTCTTGTATAGGGTTCGGGGTTTGGACGGTTGAGATTAATACGCGGGCGAGATCGTCGGTCAACGATCCACGAAGAAACCCTAATCGGCCGCGGGGAGTTGCTATATTACCCCGCGACTTCCCTCGGCCATCACCTTCCGCGGCTGGCTTGGCTCCTTTAGAGGTAGGCTGCCTTTGCAGCATCGCTTCAGTTCAATCTGTCGTTTGTTTCTTCGATGAAACCCCAATTTTTTACTTGATTCTCTCGGTTTATTGGATAATAGCTTGCTCCCTCGATCTTGTAATGATTGCGTTAAAGTGGATAGTCGCTGATTGCTGAACCATCGGGGTTGAATCGCATGTTGGCTTAACATTCGATTCGTTAAGTCTGTTCCTAGTTTTGTTGCCTGAGATGTCGTATAGATTTACACCTTCACCAGTTTTTTGACCGTCTTGATCTTTTCTGAAATGCATGAAATCCGTATGCGTTCATGGAATGTTGATCATCGATTTAGTTCTCCATGTCGTTTCTTTTGATGCTTGTCGTAGAGTCTGTACTATTTTTCTTTCAGTTTGTTCTTCTTCCATGATGAAAAATTCTGATTTTTATGATGTTGAGGTTTTAGGATCTCAATCTTGAGCTGGATCTTTTGAACTGTTATTTGTCCAATGTTTTCATTGATGGGGGCATTACCATATGCAAACGCATTCATGATTGGGTTGATTTAAATTGTTATTTTGACTTGTAATGCCTGACTTTTGTTGTATATCTGGATATGCTGTAAAATTACTGAGCTTTAATCTCATTGGGACTTCTTTGTTCCCTAGCCTCAATGCAGGAAAATGACGTGGGCTTTGGCCTAACAAATTTATAGTTCTTAAGCAGAAATATTTTTTCTTTGGTTTGTACCTATTTCTAGAGGTCTTTAAGTATGTCGATCATGATTTCTTTCTCTGTTGCTTCTAGTGTTGGAAATTTTGTTTGAATTTAGTTTTCTTTTGTTTAAATATCTGCACTAATTGTTGCCTCTTCAGTTATAATTCTAATTACTTATTCATGTCTTCAGGTGAACGTGTTGAAGGAAATCTAAGAAGATGGTTCTAAAGTATGTCATAATCGTACCTTATGCATCATGCATACCTTTCTAATAGTTAATGTCATATTCTGCATTAACATTTACCCTGTGTGTTCTTTACCGATGACTGCTTTCTTCCACTCCTCTTATCATTTACTTGTCCCCTTCACTTCAGTCTAATAAAGTTATCAGACAATGTACTATAGCTTCATAGGCAGTACAAATATTTGATTCTCATTTGACCCTCGTTATTTTCTGTTTTCCATTTATAGTAGCTGAAATATCTTAATTTCAGTATAGACTTCAGTTGTCTCTTTCAATGGTTATTGAACCTTAACTCATAAGATTGCTCCCTATAAAGTAGCCACTCATGCTATGTGCTTATGCTGCAGGACCGAACTCTGCCGTTTTAGCGGTGCCAAGATATACCCCGGAAAAGGCATTAGATTTGTTCGATCTGACTCTCAGGTAATTTGTTGTGATCGTATTTCGTACTTGTACGTATAATAAGTGTCAATGTTTTCCTTTAACTAATGCATGGAATTCTTCAGGTCTTCCTTTTCGCAAATTCAAAATGCAAACGTTATTTCCACAATCGTCTGAAGCCTGCTAAGCTGACCTGGACTGCAATGTACAGAAAGCAACACAAGAAGGTATTTATATTTTATTCCATCATACTTCCTGATTGCCTTCTAGCATCTCTCAATTATAAGTCGATAGGTGTCAACGTGTTTATGTTGTGTGTATTAAGTATCAAATCATGATGAATGAAATTAAAAAAAATGATTTCACTTCATTTGAGATAAGTTACTACTTTTTCTGTATTCTTATAATATTATTTTACTAAATATGAACTTTTTCTGATGAATAGGTTAGAAATGTGAGTTAATTACTTGTTATTATTTATGGTGATATATAACTTTCCTGTGTATGTTTTGGTATGTAGGTAACTTGGCATTGTTGTGGTTGCCTTCCAAGTCTATGATAGGTATACTAAATCAGATTGATGGGACATGATAATTTTGATTTTCTTATCACAGGATATTCATGCTGAAGCTGTAAAAAAGAGACGTCGTACCACCAAGAAACCATATTCGAGGTCCATTGTTGGTGCTACTCTTGAGGTTATTCAGAAAAAGAGAACTGAGAAGCCTGAAGTTCGTGATGCTGCAAGAGAAGCGGCTCTTCGGTACCAATCATTTGCAGCTTTAAGTTGTTTATTAATTCCCACGAATTGGATACTGAATTATGCAACAAAAAAGTTTGATTCTACTTCTATCATTTGGCTAGCTGCATTATCCTAGGAATCCTCTTAGGGAACTATTTTGTTTTCCAGCAATCTTTCTTTCCACCAATTCTGTCTCACCATTCTTTTACTATATTGCTGCATTAGTTTGCTTATAAAGTAATTCTCTCAGCCTTTACTTACCTCCTGATCATCCAAAATTTGTGCTTTTTGTTTCATGATCTTCATGATTGTTATGAATATTTTTGGTCAAATCTCTCTGTAACTTACCTTTTTTACTCAGGCTGATACCCTCAAATAAGTGTGTTAAGATATATTATTCTGATGCTATGTTCAGGCATTAAGATGTGATATTTCTGTAGGCTATTGGTTCGGTGGCTATAATTTTCTTGATCACTAGCTTTCTGAAAGATTTGAACTTGCAAATTATTCTGGTAAAAAGCTAAATTGCCATTCTTTTTTCTCTATTTCTTTATTCGTGTGCCTATAAAGTGATTGTCTTTGAGCCTATAAAGTATTAAGACCTACCATTCTGATACTATGTTCAGGCATTAAGATGTGTTATCTCAGTAGGCCATTGGTTCAGTGGCTGTCTTTTACTTGATCACCAGCTTTCTGCTTTCAGATTTGAACTTGCAAATTATTCTAACCAAAAACTAAAAGCTTTGAGAATACGCTTCAGATCTTAGTCTCCATGTGTTTCTTTTTCCTTTGCTTCTGCAGCGAGATCAAGGAGCGTATAAAGAAAACAAAGGATGAGAAGAAAGCCAAAAAGGCTGAGGTCACAGCTAAAAGTCAGAAGACCCAGACAAAAGGAGGTGCTCCAAAGGCTGCCAAGGGTCCCAAGCTTGGTGGTGGTGGTGGCAAGCGCTGAGAACTCAGTTATGCTATTTACTCCAATCTTCGCAAATCAGCTGTCTTGGAGGAATTTAGTTTTGTCATATGACTTTCTTGTGCCTGTGAGAAGCACATCTGCACCAATTTGATATTTTATTTTTCCTTTGTTCGGTTGTGAAACATCAAAAGTTTATCGGAGACTATTAGTTTCAAGTTTATCCGACTGCATGCATCCTGCTGAGTTTGATGGCCACGGGCATGGCCAAGTGATGGTTGCAGGGTTTCTACCCCGTCGTCTTCGTAGAAATATTTCAGATTCTATCAAGCTTGTTTATGTTTTCCTATCATTGCTTGTGGATTTAAAATGGGGTAATAAGCGATGATTGCTGTGCTAGATTTGTGGAAAACACGGTGATGGATTCAGATGTGACATCAAATGATATGATGCCTTGCAAAGTAAATGTTTCGATTGCAATCCTCATCGTGCAAATTGCTCGGTAATATCAAATTTGTGAATGCTTGCAGTTGCCATCTGGTTTGCAGTCAACTGATATTTATATAAAAACTACGAAATTTTATCGTTATTTGAATTGTATTATCCTATATAATAAAATAATATCATATAATTTTATTCATTATTTGAATCGTGTGACACATGCAGGCCCTGAGTACATAATAACATCAGTGGTGGCGGACGATGACGACACTTTAGACCGTGGATGATTATTATGGATAAGGAGAACGATAGTGAGAGGTATGGATCGTTTTGCATTTGCGTCGATATCGACACAATTGTCGAGCGACGAAAAGATCGTCGATATAGATGCCAAGCAACCCTCACTTGTTGTTGCCGCTCTCCTCAACAACCACCCATAACCCCCAACAGTGCAACTGTGTACCACGATCGACGCCCTCCGCCACCATCAACTAAAACATTAAGATTATTTTTTTTTCCTTTAGTAAAACTAATAACATTAAAATAAATAGACTTAAATATTTCACTTTCGAAATATCAATATAATTTTTTAAAATATAAGAATTGAAATATTAAAAATAGCTAATTACAGAAGATAATATATAACTAGCTCAATTTGTTTTGATGCATAACATTGCACGAGAATTTGACTGGATTATGCATAACATTGCACGAGAATTTGACTGTAATCCATTATTTAACATTCATAAATACATTTCCAACTGTGTTGATTGTCAATGGGTTTATATCGAATGTCTAAAGACAAGAAATAAACATCAGAGAAAGGTTACAAGGAACAACCTTGTGCATTGTATATCAATGAAAAGATGAAGAGTATCCAGCTTTCTTTCATTTAGACAGAAACACACTGCTTTTATAGGCTGAAGGACCACAAATTCTTTTAGAATCCAATGATAGTGTTCATGGATTTATTTCCATGTTATCTATCAACCTAACGGCGCCAAACCAAGCAGCAATGCAAATCACAGCAGGGCTGTTAATCTCTTCAACCGGGATCAGACTTTCTTGCTCCACTATCTGCATTTGAAGAGTGCAATTGATTTATTGTCACGTGTATATCAAAGCATAAGACACTAGAAAAATCTACATGTCAGCTCGACTAAGCCTGTTTCACGAAAAAAAAAAATGATATTTTTAAAATCTACATATCAGCTCGACTAAGCCTGTTTCATGAAAAAAAACCAACAATATTTTAGCCAGCATCGTCATCAGAAATTCAATATCTCATAATAGGCCCAGGTATATTTGTTTATGCTCAATATTCGTAGATGGAAAGAACTAAAATTCACAATGGATTAGCATGAATAAACGCATATCATGAGCTGAACTATTGGTTTTCGGTTTAAAGATCATACCACGAAGAATAGCAACCTTCCCTGTCCAGGTCTGTGAACAAAATATTAGTCACCTTCTTTTAGTAGTAAACAGAACAGGAGTTCAAAAAAAAAATTAAGGCACGTGATGACCAGTAACATTTTAGTATCATATTATATCTACATGAATATACACTTACAGTCAGAACAGGAATTAATGCAATTTGTAGACTTACAAGATAAGTATAATTTACTTGTGTGATAGTGGAAACTAGGAATTCAACATGATGGTTTTATTATGGATCAGTGTATGCATATCTTGAGGTGTTGTGGTCTCCTAGTTAATAACTATTAGTTATGCATCTAACGTAAATCCATAACCTCAATCAGCTTTGGCAAAAAAAAAAACACCTCAACTAACAAAATTATACTCATTTAATTAGAATGAATTGATTCCACTAACAGATTTTGACCTATTAGGTTAGCCACCGAGTGGCTTTGATATGCACGAACTTATTGAAACTCTTGAAATACTTGGAGCTGGAATAGCAATGAACTGGAATGAAATGATTTGTGGATTTTGTTTTTGGACAATGTGAGGCAAGCTCCTGTTGGGATTTACATTGCTAACAGACTTTGAAATTAAGGCCAGGGTTTCCTGGAATTTCTTGTTAAGGTTAGATTTCTAGTATAACAGAGTTCATGAGTAAAAATTCCTGATAACAGTTCAAATATCTAACCGCCAAAAAGGAAGAAGAGAAACTATGTTACATGAAATAATATAGGACTTCAGTATTCTAATCCTAACATACTATTCACAACAAGGTCTACAATACCACCCGGTATGATACAATCCTGGTGGTATTTACCGGTCCAACAGCCTACTAGTACATGGTACATGGTACATGGAAGAGGGTAAGCCAAACATACCACCTGACACAAGCGATATGTGCCCAATACCAGGCAGTTTCTTTTTTCTGTTTTTCCAGGATTTTCTAAAACTCGATACGTACCAGCAGACTAACACTTGGTACACTTCTATAGACCAATACAATATGGTTAAAATATTCTACATGATCACCCATAACAATATTGTTCACGAGGACTATTTTGGTACAATAGTAAAGAGTTCAGAGCAAGATTCAAGTTTCAGTTCAAACCCCTTCTCAATCAATTCCTTGCTAGATATGTATGGGTCTGGTACTTATTAGTAAACTAACAAATGGTAAGTTGGCATACTACTCAGCACAGATCAAAAGGAGGGAAGATGAAAGAAAGAGGAGGAGACAGAGATAGAGAAGCGGGGGAAGAGGAGAAGGTGGAGGCAGAGGGAAAATACCAGAGACTTATGAAGAAGCAACGATGTGAGGCAGCAGGCAGCAGCAAGTGCTACGACAAGAGAGAATCAGGAGAGAGAAGAGCATGGGAGAAATATAAATTAAAGAAAAGATAGTTGTTGTTGTCAAGTCAAAACAAACCCATAAGCCTGATTTTGAACTGGACCAGAAAAAGTTGCCTAGTCTGAGTGTCAGATCTTGGTTAGATCAATGAATATGAACCAATCTGATTGGTTTTCAAAAACATGATTTAAGCAAGATTTTAAATCTCAGTCTATAGTAGAGATTAATTGGTAGTTGAACTAGTATGATACTGTTATGGGTTGGCTTACTAATATACAGTACCCCTGGACCCTGGACCACTGTGAGAGAGAGAGAGAGAGAGAGAGAGAGAGAGAGAGAGAGAGAGAGAG